AGCCAGGAAGCAGCAAGACAAAAAAGAAGCCGGAAGCAACTATCCTGATGAAGGGCATGCCCTTACTCAGACCCGCCTGCTAGGATCCGCCTTGTAAGGTTCCCCACATCTCAGTAGCATGGCCGTTGGGGAGTGCAATCGAAGCTTTAGCATGCAGTTCCCTGGATGACTTTCAACGTCCAGGTGAGAGCATCCTGTCCCCACCCTAATCACCCCATATCTGGGTCCACCCACTCCACCCCTAGGAGCCCAATCCAATAGTTAGAGTAGAAGTCTCAAAACTGTGACCAGAGTGAAGCCCCTCTCCTTTATGAGTTATTATTTCAGGTGATTCATTATAGTGACAACTGAATAATTTGCTTATTTTAAGAGCATGTCCAGATACAAAATCAAGAATGTTCTGTTAGTTTAAGCAGCCCGTCTACTATAAAATAGCCCCAAAAATATTCAATGATTGTCTTCACAGCAGGGCCTCTGCTAAAGCCTGCATCATGCGTGGCCCATGCTTTATGAACATGACCAGTTCACACCCCAGGAGAAATACTGACTTCCAATGCGGAGGTAACAGGTTGTCTTCCTCCGTGGACTCTGCATCTGAAGCTATCCTTACTGGTCCGATGATTTGAGTAAGAATGGTCCCCACAGGCTTACACATTTGGATGCCTAGATGAGCTGGTGGGCTGTTTAGGAAAGATTAGGAGATGTGGCCTTGTTGGAGGAAGTGTGTCACTGGAGGGGGACTTTGAGGTGTCAAAGATTTATCCCAGATTCTGTCTTTGGTTTCTCCACCGCCATCTCATGGATCAGGTGTGAGCTAACAGCTACTGCTCCAGCTTGCCTGCCTCCAGTCACACTCCCTGACATGATGGTCATGAATTGACCGACCCTCTGAAACTGTAAGCAAGCCCCCAGTTAAATGCTTTCTTTTGTGAGTTTCTTTGACAAGTAGTGTCTCTTCATAGTAACAGAACAGTAGCTAAGCTACTCTCCCACCGCGGCATCGGCTTTCATGCTACTCTAATCTTCATCTTTTTTTTTTTTTTTCGAGACAGGGTTTCTCTGTGGTTTTGGAGCCTGTCCTGGAACTAGCTCTTGTAGACCAGGCTGGTCTCGAACTCACAGAGATCCACCTGCCTCTGCCTCCTGAGTGCTGGGATTAAAGGTGTGCGCCACCACCGCCCGGCTAAAGAGAGTGCTCCAGGTGAAGATAATCTTCATCTTTTAAAGGTAGATGGTATTCTGAAGAACACCACTCAACGTCAACCTCTGCTTCCACCTGCATGAGCACATGCAAGTGCACACACCCATACACTCTGGCTCATATACACATGAGAGGGAGGGGAAGCCAGGGAGGGAGCCAGGGAGGGAGGAAGGGAGAGACCCAGAGAGAAACAGAGAGAGACACCAAAATTGAGACTGAGAGACCCAGACAGTCTGAGACACACACAGACACACACACAGTGTCTCTAAGCCTGGTTTCCAGGCTGAAGGGTATAATGTTCTAAACCTTAGATGAAGCATCATCGAGAAGATGATTCCCAAGAAGAATTTTCCACAATGAAAGGAAAAGAGGGGGGGGAAATGTCAAAAGAATTAGATAAAAGTTTTCCAACACATGGCTGTCTAGGGCTGGCAGTGGAAGAACAAGAAAAACCATGTCTCCTTCTGTGCCTCTTCTCTCCTCATGAAACATTCCATATACAAATGTTGCTTCCAGTTAAAAATGCCCCTGAGGATGGACTCTAGGGACATGGGACCCTCTCTACAGGTATGCAGAAATGACATCTGGGCCAAGTCCGTGTCCAGGTTCATCTGTAGAATTCGGCTCCTTTCCCCGTGAAGGACAGACACCAGTGATTGGCCTCTTGTTTCAGGGCAAAGAAAGGGGAGCGCCCTCTCCACGTGGGGCCTATGAGGAAGCAAAGAGCTGCAGGTTCCTGGCAGTGTGCTCACACTCACCTCAAAGGGCTCAGCCAGAAATCACTTCGGCTTGACACTTTCTTTACAATGTTGCTTGTGTAACTCACCTGTTTCCTCAAGGTAGCTGTCTGACTAGTGCAAGTTCACAAACCCATAAACAGAAAGGACATAAAATTCAACATCCAGCTAAGGGGCCCTGTCTCCCTCACCTGGGCATCCCCTGAGATCTAGAGGGCTCTGCAGAGATTGCATGCAGTAGGTCTGAAAAATCTCTTCTAGGGGCCTGGCTCATTTTTATTCTCTCCTCTTTCTCCACTCTCTTTCTTTCCTTGAAGCACTTCTTTGAAGCATTTAAAAATATCCCAATGCAACCTGGGCAACTGGAAAGATGATGGCTTAAACCACATTTTTGGTACACTGTAAAGGCTAAATAAGAATAATTAATGTGGTGTGTGTGTGTGTGTGTGTGTGTGTGTGTGTGTGTTTATGGGAAAGGTACCACAGAGAGATACAAACATCCTCAGGCCACTGAGCAAGGCAAGGACAGAGAAAGGCCCCTTCCTTCTGGTTTATCTGAACATAATAATCCAGGTCATAGAGGAGATGCGTGTGGTTCCCGCGCTAGCCAGGCAGGTTGGAGATGCCCATGGTGCCAGCGCTAGCCGGGCAGGTGGGAGATGCCCGTGGTGCCAGCGCTAGCCGGGCAGTCGGGAGATGCTAGCCGGGCAGTCGGGAGATGCCCATGGTGCCTGCGCTAGCCGGGCAGTCGGGAGATGCTCGCCGGGCAGGTGGGAGATGCCCGTGGTGCCAGCGCTAGCTGGACAGTTGGCTTGGACGCTCGTCTTCGCTCTAAGTGAGAGCACAGCCAGTGTCTCCTGTGTCATTGCTGCTGCTGTGACTGCACTGCCCTGCAGTGGAAAAGGACATTTTCCCTCTGATTTATCATTTGATGCAGATGGTTGGCTCAAGTTTTTTGATCTTGTCAGCAAAGCTGATGTTAAAAAATTGGAACAATCATCCTGCTTGTTTATGTTTTCTTATGAGGTATCAGTTTATAGAATGAACACTTTTATAACTGGAGCCTCAGAAGGAACCTTCAGTGTGTATCTTCTTGACACACACACACACACACACACACACACACACACGTATTTTATTTAATGTGTTGTTTCTTCTTACCTTTCTCCGAGTACCAGTATGCTTTATGGAACAGACAAAAAGTACCCCCTCCAGTTTATTTTGCTCAAGAAAAGGCCATCAAGAACCACAGAGCACAGTTTGGGGAGATGGCTCTGTCAGAAAAATGCTGGCCATATAAACATGAAGACCCGAGTTCCAATCCCCTTCAGCCTTGTCAACAGTTAGGCACTAAAGTGGGCACCTGTTGGCCCAGCACTGGATCCTCGGGATTTGCTGGACTCAGTCCAGCTAAATGGAAAACTGGGTTTGATGAGAGATGCTGTCTCTAAAAATGGAGAGAATCTGAGGAAGATGCCTATCCACATGTGTACGTACACACAAATGCATACACACATGTACCTCCCCTCGCACGCACACACACAAATGCATACACACATGTACCTCCCCTCGCACGCACACACACAAATGCATACACACATGTACCTCCCCTCGCACGCACACACACAAATGCATACACATATGTACCTCCCCTCGCACGCACACACAAATGCATACACACATGTACCTCCCCTCGCACGCACACACACAAATGCATACACACATGTACCTCCCCTCGCACGCACACACACAAATGCATACACACATGTACCTCCCCTCGCACGCACACACACAAATGCATACACACATGTACCTCCCCTCGCACGCACACACACAAATGCATACACACATGTACCTCCCCTCGAACACACACAGTATGGACTTTCATCATGGCACTGCAGATGGCTAACCCTCTCTTGACCTACGAACTTGCCAAAGTCTGCAAAAGACACAAACAAGGAGGAATTTGCTGGGATCTCAGGTTGAGACCTTCAGTAGGGGCAGGCAGGCGACTGGGTGATGCTTCCCTCTGCCCAGCTTCCTGGTCTGAAATGGTTAAAAAGTAGCTAGGCAGGTCTGGAGACTGGAAAGCGGCTGTGCTAACTAGTTAAGTATTAGGCAGAAGCAGCTCTTGAACTTGGGCGCAGAGGACCGTCTGGCTCCCAGGAGTAACCTTACACTGTTGTCTACTTTCCTTTCCGAGCTGAATGGAAAGTGGCTTTCAAACGCAACTGCGCTGCTGAATATCCATTCTGTCAGGGGAAACCATTCCTTCTTCTGAAGCACTTTCAGTGTTTACAGGCTCTAACTTAAAACAGAAACATTTATTTTTTCACCAGTTAAGTTCCTGGCACCGGCTAAGAGGGGGATTTAGGTTGGGTTTTTTTGTTGTTGTTATTTTGTTTTTTTATGTATCAACTAACACTTGACTAAACACGACTTTCAAAACTGACTTTTAATTTTTAAAAAAAAAACCATAAATACATTTAGTTTGCTAGGGAACATCATACTTAGGTGTTTGGTCCATAAAACTCAGTTTATCTGAGCTGTCTTTCGATTGTAGCTTTTACAAATGGCTGCCACAGTCAACAGGTGGGACCATGCATGAGCATTCTTTTTGCTAAAAGCGTTCCATGTGTGGATTAGCACTGTTACTGAACTGAATGAACACCCCAAACCTGATGCGTTCATTTACATAATTGATGGATTCTCTGTAATTTAGTGGAATTAATGACTACACAGATACAATTCTTTTAAGTGCCCAGGATTGGGAACATCACGGAACATATTGTACCTTATTGTAAAACAAAAATAGCCCTGGACAGACTGTGGAATGTGCTCTCACAGGATAATCAGCTCTTTACTGTGGTTTTCCTGCCAGTCGGGGAGCCCTGCGTCACACAGAGCGGATGCCAAGTGTCTGGTTTGCACTTTGGTAAGACATGTTTTTCTTGCTGCGAGTTTTCAGGTCTGCAGTTTCCCCGAGTGAGCATTCCGGTCACCTTTCCGTGCCTCTGGGGCCTAGCTTCTGCGCCAGGTATTTAAAAAAAAAAAAAAAAAATGGCTGGCATATTGGAGTTCCAAACAGGTGGGCAGGGCAAGTCCACAGACTTGGGATACTGCCTGCTGGACACTAGTGATCTGTGGGCGGACATGGAAGTCTGGGGCAGCTTGCTGGAATTTTTATCTCATGTAAGTGACCTTTTTCCTGGCTGAGTCCTCTTCTATCAAAAACAAATTTGTTAACATCTTAGATGAAGTGTTGAAATGATGCCTTAAATGAACTTGGGTGGGAACATGTTATTAAACCAATATCCTCAGATGATACCTCCATGGAGTCAAAGATTTGGGGGAATAATGAACTCTCCAATCCTCCCCCCTGTCTTCTTGGTGCTGGGGTTGTTGTTTAATAGGCTGCTTGCTTCTTCCGTACAATTTGCAGCAGATTGACAATGAATAGGAGCCCTGGGGGGCGGGGTCTAGTCACCTCCAACCCTCTTTATTCATCCCCTACTGTGTTTGGGGCAGGAAAGACTCTGGTGCACTTTCTAGTTTCTCTTGGCTGTTTACCCAAGCAGAAAATGCAGGAAAACAACCTAGGCATCTGACGGACATGTGCTTTCCAGGCTGATCTGAAGTTCTTCCCAAACATCTACCCTCCTCACACATCCTTCTCTCCGCGGGTTTCTGCCACCGTGGGTTTCTGCCACCGTAGTGCTAGCCCAGGTCACCTGTGAGCCAGGACTTCCCACGGGCTTGCTTGTGGAAAAGCATGCTATAATCACCGTCTCTCACAACACTCGGTCCCTCACTCAAGGCCAAGCATGGAAGACACGGGGGTGGGAGGAAGGACTTAGAAAAGGAGAGGATTTGAGGGTGGAGAGGTGATTCAGTCAGAGAAGGGCTTATCACACAAGTTTGAGGATCTGTGTCTGACCCTCCCCAATGTTAAAAAGAAAGCATAGCCACATAGGCACGTGCTTATATCCCCAGCGCTGGGGAGACAGACAGAAGGATTCCTGGGGTGTGCCACTCAGCCTGTTCAGCTGAATTAGTGGACTCCAGGTGCACTGAAATACCTTGTCCCCCAAAATAAGGCTGGGAATGACTATGGGAGACATAGATGGCAACCTCTAGCCTCTGAATACACACACACATTCACATATACATACACACTCATATATACATACACATTCACTACACATTCACATACATACCCACATATTCTCACACACACACACACACACATTCACATACATACTCATATATACATACACATTCACTACACATTCACATACATACCCACATATTCACACACATATTCACACACACACACATACACATACACACTCATATATACATACACATTCACTACACATTCACATACATACCCACATATTCACACACACACACACATGAAGAGATGGCTTCGTTCAACATTTAACTACTGAAGATTCTCCAAGCTGCTCATACCCAAGTTCTTAGACAGCTGTATAAAACCCTGCACAGTCTCTTGCTGAAAGCACGCCCCACTCGCCCAGACCGGTCCCCATGCCAGGCTTTCTCTGTGTCTCTACAGGGCTCTGATAGCCATGGCAACAGGACAGCTTCCTGCTCCCCACCACTCTCCAAGCAAAGGCAACCGGACACATGGTTGATTTTATTTACCACTGTCACCGTAACACAGGAAGAGTGTCCATCAGTAGATGCCTAACTAAAGCTTGGTGGATGCTAAGTCAATAAAATTCTTTAATCAAATGGTACAGTGCCCAGGAAAAAACGAACTACAAAGATTCCATCTTTGCCTTCTCTGTTTCGAAACTCCATTGCACGGCGGAGAACAACACATTGTCTGCTCTGTCGTCTATGATACAGGAGTTGACAAACGTTTATCTAGAAAAGATCAGCTTGAAACATTTTAGCTTGTGATCCTGTTTCTTTGTCAAAACCATGTCCCTGTGCCATTTTATCAGGAGAATCTCGGTAAATAATCTGTTATTATATATGCACATGGCCACAATTGCAATAAAACTTTATTGATAGAGTGACAGGCTGCATTTGGCCTGGAGAGCGGGGTTTTCTGGTGCTTTGGCTAGACTTTCATTACCACCCAAAAGCCATTTCCTAAGAGCCGGAGTGTGCTGTGTTTCTGAGCTAGGGACCTGTGACCGCCTGCCTTTCATTTAGACTTTTGGGCCTAATACTTGGATAAAGATTTGCTAAGTGACTCTCGATCTCGACTCTCCTTTGATCCTGTCTTTAGATTTAATAAAGCCTGGCCCACCTAGGAAATGTCCTAAGGACTCTCTTCTCTCTTCTCATTCCTCCTTTCCTCTCTCTTCAACACATTCTCTATAGCCCATGTAGGCCTTAAACTCCAATAAAGCTGAGAAAGACAATGAAACTCAGATCCCTCAGCCCGTGCCTCTGGAATTCTGGGATGGCAGGCTTGCCACTGTGCCCTCTTCATGCAGTGCTGGGGATTGAACCCAGGGCTTCTGCACCTTTAGCAAGCGCTTAACTGACTAAATGCCGACCCCGGCCGGCCTTTATTTTCCTTTTCCGCCTCATCTTTTAAAAATAACTCTCATCTTTGTGGGCATCTTGTTTACTTAAACAAGTGAGCAGAGCCTTGGTGTAGGGTTCCTGGGCTCCTTGTGGTTAAACTGGTTTCTCAACCACCAGAGTCTAGAAAGGAAAAGAAAGGCCTAGGGCAGATTAGATGCCTCTGTCAGGGAACCTGAGTGTAGGAGCCCGGCTGTGCCTTCTTCAAGAGTCCCCTGGCCTTAGAGGTGGTGCTCTCTCTGGATATCGGGATGAGGGCACGGACTCCCACCACTAACCAGTTGACTGGTTCTCTTCCCTTATGTGGACAGGGGTAAGCTCTTCAAATGCTGGACACAGCCACCTTCCTCTCCCTCAGGGTCTGACGGCAGCAGTGGGGAGACAGAAGCAGCTGCCCATGTCATTGTCCCCATGCAGACTTCAGCCTTTCAAGTGTCAGCATTTCGCCCTGCAGGCCTCAGGCATGGGGACTTTTGATCCGGGCCAGTGGCCAGTGTAACTTCTCTGGGACTGAGGACCGAGACCCTCAACACTGAAGAGTGAAGAGTTCCCTGCAACTCTTCAGATGACCAGAGCCTGCAGGTTCTTCTCCCGAGTTCCCTAGAGCCTTTTATCAGTCCCCAGCTGCCACCTCTCATCTCTCTACCTCCCCCGCTCCTCCTCCTCCCTGGGCACCTTCAAACTCTTCGGCTCTTCTTTTGGTTGTCAGTGGCAACGGCCTCAGGGCACTGTCTCTGTTGCAGAGGTACTGGAGAGAGACAGGTAACAACTTGGATACCTGCTATTGCTAAGGAGCCAGGGGACCCAGGGGACTATTCAATATCCGGGTGTCAGACCAGCCAGCACCACTCGCCAGCAAACCTGCCCTCCCATCAGGGACAGGCTCCTGGCTGGGATATGGGATTCTCTGGATGGAATTGGTGGGCCATCAGGAACCACCAAGTCCATTCTCCCGCTGCAGGGTGGGCCAAGGCCTCTCTAGTTGGCTCTTCCTTCCGTCCTCAAGCAGACGCACGAAGGCCTCTGCACTGAGAAGCAGCATTGCCAGTGTTTATTCTCCAGCAAATCAGGGACCAGAGTTAGGGCGCCAGGAACCCGCGTGAGCAGGGCTGCTCAGTGTTTACCCATGTAAACACTGGGGTAGTGGGTGGTATTGAGTTCTCATGTGACATCAGGAAGTCTGGAATCTACGGGTAACAGGAAGTGATGTTGTGTTTGCGTGGCCATCGAATCTTCAGCGGTCCAATCACCAGGCAGTGCCCACATTGCCCGTTTCACACAGATCGAGGGATCGAGGCCCTATTTGTTTAACTGCTAAGCCACCTCTGTTGCCTCTGTCATCCTCCGCTGCTGCTTCTTTCTCCAGGCGTCCAGCACAGCCTGCACCGCTGAAGAAAAGCAAGGCCACTCCGAGACAGTCTTCATCTTACCTGCTGCTGCAGTGCCAGATGCAGTAGCCCAGCAGAGCGTCCGCCAGCTGACCCATGGAGTGAGCTTCAATACCCTACCTATGCAGCCCCAGAAGGGGTCTTTGGGCCAATCACAGTCACGTGTTTGGCCAGTCACAGCCTTGCCCCTTAGCACCAGTCACAGAGACTGAGGCTGGTGCGCTGGGCAGGTTACGCCCTGGTCCTTTAGCGCTCACTGAAGGAAGTGCCCCCTTGCCCAGGCCCCAGACAAGGTGGGCAAGGCTATTTGAGAGGTAAGGCTACAAAATAACTGGTCTAAACTGTTTCAGGCACTTCAAACTGTGCTGACTGGGCCTGAACCTTCAAGATCCAGGGCAAACAAACACCAGGTGTTTATGCAATTGTTTCCAGGTGTGTTTAGGGAGCCCTAAAGATACCTGGTGCTGACATAGCACAGCCTGGCTCTCAAACTGATAGCCCTTTGGCTCAGGGTAGCTTGAGCTGTGCAGGAAAGAGCAGAAGCTGCTGAGGAGGCATTCCGTGTCTTCGCTTAAAGCAGAACGAACAGCAGGCTGAGTGTTACAATCTGAACTCACAGGACCTTCATTGCAGGGCAGTGGTTTCAGCAGATCTTCATAGTGCTTTAACAGTGCTCTGCCCCGGGACCAGAGTGATGTAGCCCCCTCTGTCTCACCTCTGTTGACTCTAACACGAGCAAGGGAGCAGAGTCTACATTCCAGGCTGCACACAGACATCGAAGCAGAACTGGACCTTAGGACCTGACTGTAGACAAGCTATCTATCCTTAGTCTGCACCTGACTTGCGCTGATCTCAGCTTTCCTCTACAAGAGTAGACTTCCCTGGCTGTACGGGATGCCCTGAATCTCTCTAACTTTCCAGCTGTTCTTTCTAAGCAGAACTGAATCCAATAGCCTTAAGGAGATCGCCACCTCTGGGTCCATCTTTGATTCTTCATATTGCAGAGTTCAGACTTTCTGGGGGAAAACTATTCATCCCAGGCACCATGGGCAGTGGTGCAGGTGGATGATGACAGCGGTGGTCAGGCTTGTGCCGATTTTTTTCTAAAGAAAAGAGAGAGAGAGAGAGAGAGAGAGAGAGAGAACCACTGTGCACGGTATCAGGTGTCCCCTTCTATTACTCTGTGGCATTTCAGGTCATTTAACCCTAGAACTGGCATCTCAATATTTTTCTCAGCTGGTCTGGAAGCCAGCAGACCCCAGAGATCCTTCTGTCTCCACTGCCCTTGGACCTGGACTGCAGGCATTGGCAGGATGCCAGGCTTAGATACTGGGTATCTGAATGCTGATCCCCATGATGGCTTCTCAAGCATTCTTACTGCTGAGCCAGCTCTCCGATTCCAGGCTTGTGACTTTTAAGGTATTTGTTTTATAAAACAGATAGTTGCCAATAAGTCCTCTGGACAAGGATCCTCTTTTTCATCTTAAGAAAAGATGTTCTAAGTAATTGGATTGTGGGCTGGATGGAGTGCAGACGGCTAGCTCAGGAAACGGGACACATCCTGATACAGATGACCACATGGACACTGGTCATCTAATATGCTCCTTAAAGGGCCGTTACTGGCCACAGCTGACAGGAAAAGGCAGAGCCACCTCCACGGCCACAAGAGGTTGCTATAGGTACTATTATCACAAAGTCTGAGGACAGCAGAAGGGCATAAGTGGCCCGAGACCATGAAGGCTTGGGGAAAGGGGCAAGGAGTCAGAGACCCAGTTCTAAATCTCACTGCACCTGATCCCCTCGGCTGGTCACTGCCAGTATATGATACCTAATGGCATCTTTCTGTCCTCCAAGGCGAATCATTCTGGGCCTGCATTTCATTTCTTTGGAGTTCTTGGCCATTGTGTGAGGGCTCCTGCTAGGTTTCCTAGTCTACACTAAACGTCTCCATGGACAACCTGGAGGAAGTATGTTACAGTCCCATCAGGAAGTGAGACGAGGCTATGCGTGCAAGAGAGGCAAGGCTATGAGCATAATACCTGACAGTCAGAACCACAGTGTAAGCCTCAGGCTACAAAGTTAGCATCTGAAGCTTGTTCTCTGTAATAGTAAATGCATGCTTGAGACCCAAGTGGAACCCTTCAGACAGGAGTGTTTCACGTCAGACACTACCTTCTGCTATGAGTTTAAGAGTTAGGCCAAGTCAGATGATAAGACCAGAGAACGAAAGCAGTATGATGTCTGCATGGGTACTGTCATGATTTGAATAAGAAATATTCTTAACAGATTCATACTTTGAAAACCTGATTCTTCAACTAATGGTACTTTTGGAAGGTTCTGGAAACTTCAGGTGGGATCTAATTATAGGAAATAAGCTACTGGGGATAAGAGCAGATCCTTGAAGAGTTCCTGTCTATGACCCCTCATAGTATCTTTCTCTACTTTCTGCCTGTGGGGAGCTGAGGAGGTTCCTGGACACACACTCCCTTTGCTGTAACGTTCTGTCCAAGTGCACGAGGCTAACAGACTTAGACTGACCTGTCTAAAATCATGAGCCAGGAAGCCTTTCTCGTTCAGATCAGTTCTGTTAGGTCACAGTGGTTCATAAGTAAATGATACAGGTGGAGAGATGACAGATAGACAGAGACATTGAAGGAGTGATTGACTAACGTCAGTCGCGGGCGTGAATGCCAACTCTGAGGGCTCCTGCGTTCTTTGCGGCCACTCGTCAAGGTCACCTTGTGATGGCAATCTGGCTTTCCTCTTATCATTTCCGGTTCATCTCTACCTGAGCTCTTTGTTTTCTGACAGGCGCACGTCCAGCACATAAAACAGAGGAAAGCACTTTCCAGGCCTGCCTTCTCTCTGCTCGCTGAATTCTGAGGAGGAAACTTAATCCCCAGCAAACACTCAGAAGTGCTCTACTGACGCAGGCTGCTCTCTTAACTAAGGATTCCATCTCCAGGACGCAGTGAACTGTCAAATTTCATTACCTCTACATGTGGGCCCTGCTGGCCCTCCCCATGTGGATTTCTGTAACTCAAAGGGCAGTCTGAACACAGACAGCAGCAGACAGAATTATACACGCACGCCACTGGCTGGAATCAACACACTGCTCCTGATGTTGATTGACTCAAGGCCGGACAGCACAAGACTGTCAGCAAATGAACAGCAACGCTGTTCCAAGATCCGTCAAATATTATTTTAGATTATAAAACTATGATAGGAGATAGATTCTCACACTTGATTTCTGAAAATGCAAGCACATGATCGAAGTCAGAAATAAAATGCTAAATAAACCGAGTGGCATAAACCCCGCAAATTACTGTTGCAGCGCAAGGCGCTCCAGAAAAATTAGCTTGATTAAATTCAGTTTCCTAAGAACAAGCTAATGAAATCTATTTATCTATTTATCTGAGCAATATAACCTATTTAAGCACTCAAATGGTATGACCCTCCCCCCAACAAAAGCAACAGTTTAAGGCAGAAAGTCACAGTGCTCCCCACACAGGGCTCCCCACACAGGACTTCTCACACAGTGCTCCCCACACAGGACTCACTCCTCACACAGTGCTCCTCACTCAGTGTTCCCCACACATGACTCCTTACACAGTGCTCCCCCACAATGCTCCTCACAGAGTGCTCCCCACACAGGGCTCCTCACACAATGCTCCCCACATCAATGCTCCTCACACAGTGCTCCCCACACAGGGCTCCTCACACCAGTGCTCCCCACACAGAGCTCCCCACATCAATGCTCCTCACACCAGTGCTCCCCATACCAGTGCCCCCCACACCAGTGTTCCCCACTGCTCTTCTTGGAGAAGCTCTGCTTCTTTGAAGGAATTTACATTTTTGGAAGTATTTTAAGGTAGCTCAGGTTCACGAGATACAAATGGCGAACTCACAGAGTTTGAAGGGACTGGAGTGGGCACAAATGAAGAAAAGTCTGTGGATTTGCATAGGGGGGTCCTAGACACATGCTTGGTGGGGGGAGGGGGACAACACAGAACTTGCTATGGTGTAGGGAGGTTCCTAGACACATGCTCAAGGGGATGGGGGGAACAACACAGAACTTGCTATGGCGAAGGGAGGTTCCTAGACACATGCTCAAGGGGATGGGGGGAACAACACAGAACTTGCTATGGCGAAGGGAGGTTCCTAGACACATGCTCAAGGGGATGGGGGGAACAACACAGAACTTGCTATGGCAATGAGCAAACGCAAAGCAAGAAGTGTAACCTGAGTTCAGCCCCTTTCACTGTAGAACGTTGATCCTCCATGTCTCCTGAGAGAAGACACATGGCATAGGGTCACCCCATGCTCTCCATCGGCCTCGTGGAGGAGCCCTGAATGTAAATTCGTTATGCTTAGTTGACTAGCGCAAAAAGCAGTTTGGATTCGGAGTTACCTTTTCTCAGGTCCTAATTCCCAGGCAGCATCTCCAGACTCTGAACCAATGGCTAAGACAAAACCAAGTCCCTTCCACCCCCACCGTCTAAGCAACTTCCTGCCAAGATGAACTAGCATGTCATGGTGTGTAGGGGATGTGCACTGCTCTGGGCACGGCAGCTAGGACTTGAGTCATAAGCCAAGCCACCGAGGAACTCTAAAGTCATATTTGCCCAAGGCATAAACATGAGGCTAAATTGATAATCCAAGTACCCTAGTTGGGGTGCCTTCTTTATGCAGTCATATGAATCCTTCGCTCATTCATAAATCAGAACCCTTCACGCTTGGAGATACCACTGCCTGCCAAATACACAGATTTCAAAAAGGAAGTCCGCTGGGCTGAGGTAGCCAGAGGTTAGTGGAAGTTCCTCAATGAAAGTCATTTGGAGAAGGGCAAGTCATCCCTCAACTCCCCTAGGGTGACCACAGCAGCAAAGCAGTGCCAGGGAAGGAACGAGTGACAGAGGCAGACCCCTCCCCCACCCTGCCCCTCATGTGACCAAGGATGAATGCAGCAAAGATGCTGGGAGGTGGTTCTGTGGGTATAGTGCTGGCACACAAGCATGAGGACCTGCTCTCAACCCCAGCATCAGTGGAGAAAGCCAGACCTGCTAGCATATACCTGTAATCCCAGCACTCAGGAGGTAGAGACTACAGGACCTCTGGGGTTTGCTGCCCGATTCATAGGCCCAGTATCTCAGTGAGAGACCCCATTTCAAAAACCAGAGTGGATGATCTGAGGAGTGACATCTAAGGTTGACTTCTGGCATCCACTCACACACACATGAACCTGTACGCACAGGAACACACGGACACATGTGCGCGCACTCACTCACACACACACACACACACACACACACTTACACACACATTAGGAGAGAGAAAGAGAGAGACACATGCACATGGGAGAAAGAGAAAGACACACACACACACGGGGAGAGAGAGACATAGAGGAGAGAAAGAGAGAGATTGAATGAGCACAAGGTGATTTCCTTCTTAATGGAGAAGCTAAGAAAATCCAGTCACTCCCTTCTCAGTCAACGGAGTCTATCAGTTTTGGAGTTTGACCTTGGCTCATTCATAACTTCTTAGCTGCTTTAATTTTCCACGCTGGCTGTTAAAGAAAAGGACAATCAAAACCTATCTCCAGGGTGTCTCTAAGTGCGCTTCATTCAAATAGAGCTGTGGCCATGAGTCCAGTGAGGCGACTGGCTTGGGCTGCAGAGCGAGCCGCCAGCACAGCTTCCCTTTAGCGTGCCCTTTCACTCGCTATGTGGACATCGCTTTCTAGATAATGTCCCGTTAATTCCCATCGTGACTTAGCTAGAAACAAGAAATAGGTGGGGTGTGCAGTCAGGATCTAGAAGGCAGAGGCGCCCTCTTTCCCCACTCCTATTTCTTCGTCACGGGTGTTCTTGGAGACCTTAATGACAGCTTGGCTGGGTTCTGTCACTTGACATCATTTAGCCAATTTTCATTGTTCAGTTTTTCCACAGTAACTGGAATATTTGGCAAGAAGGGACAGTTGTGCAATGGGAAAATTTCCAACATCAAAACCCAAGGAACACAGGTGTTTTCCCTTCCCTGCTTATAATAAATGCTGAGGGCGTGTTTGGGGGCTGCTAAGGTTTTGCTGCCCTGTGCAGTGTGGGAACAGGGTGCTCATGAAGAATCAGGGTTGCTACAAGGAATCCATAGGGTGTTTGAGTGAGGGTATAACATAGTTGTACCACTTAAGTGCCACAGTTAGATAAAGCAATGGCCCCCAAATTGTAATGTGAACTCACAGCACTAACTTTGAAAAAGTGGTAAAGAGACCTTGCCTATGTTCGGGGGTGGAAGTATCATGAAGAGGCAGGTAAGAACAGGTGAGACCTGAAGGGGGGGGGGGTTCTTTGTCAACAGGATGATTGGAGGTGACAGAAGATGATGGAGGAAGGTCATTGGCTAATAAAGGAACTGCCTTGGCCCATTTCATTGGTTAGAGGATAGGTGGGAGGAGTAAACAGAACAGAACGCTGGGAGGAAGAGGAAGTGAGCTCAGAGTCTCGACCGCTCTGCTCTCGGGAGCAGACGCCAGAGAGAGACGCCATGCCCCGCTCCAGGGCAGACACACGCCATGAAGCTCCGACCCAGGATGGACATAGGCTAGAATCTCCCCGGTAAGCGCACCTTGGGGTGCTACACACAGATGATTAGAAATGGGCTAAATTAATATGTGAGAATTAGCCTAGAAGAGAATGGGCCAAGCAGTGATTAAATGAATACAGTTTCTGTGTAATTATTTCGAGCATAAGCTAGCCGAGCAGGCGGCTGGGGTGTTGGGGACGCAGCCCCGCCGCCCTTATTACTTCAAGAAGACAGTAGCTGCACTCAGTAGATAGAACCAAACACCTCCCCCAATGATTATTATCACCAACCCAAGAAAAGGGGTACCCCAATACAATATCCAGTTTATCACCAAGTAGAGACCTATGGGGAAAGAAGTAGAACCATCTACAAATGCCTATTCCAATTATCTTTTACATTACACAGGCTGACCATCATGAGGTCTGCAACGGACTATTTCAATATGTAAAAATGGTTGTTGGAGTGCAGGTTGGCTAAGAACCAAGCTGCTATGAATAATTTTCTCTGCTTGGACGTCTGGTGGAGACATGCCCAGAGACATCTCTCTGTCTGGCTTAGGTAGTTACCCACCTACTCAATGCACAGTTAAATAGCAATAGGAGGTAACATAAGCCAGCATTCAAGCTCATCTTCAGATGAACGTCCAGGTTAGAATGTCCCAGGAAGGAAGCGTGGCTGTGGACGTAGTGGGCCAGACCTGGCCGTTCTACCCTGCAGGCAATGCTCTGCTGTTTGCCAGCCCACATGGTCAACAGTGAAAGCTCACCTTCATAGCGACCGGCCAATGGGGGCCAGCGTACTATGTCATTTGCTGACACTTACATGTCACCAAGAGGGACCTAGAGTCACCAAATAACTCAGGAGGGGCTTAAAGAGTGAACAGCTTCTGAGCAGAGGCCCGTGGGTCATGAACGTAGCTTTTTAAGTTGTATTTTTCCCATTGTATTAACATTTACAGATTGTTGGCCACTGTCTACTTAGTGTGACTATATTAGAATATTAGAATAACAATTTTTATTTTCAAATTAATGTTTAACGTTAAAATAGGTAACTTCAAAACAGAGAGAGGGTGTCTGGGTGCAGCCATGCATACTTTTAACCCCAGTTATCTGGGTGTATCTCTGTGAGTCAAGGCCCAGTCAGGATTGCACAGTGAGACCCTGACAGAAAAAAACCGAGAAAAGAAAAAGAAAACAAAAGAAGCCAAGTATCCACATTGGATAGGGTGACCCACCGTAGCTGTTTGCCTGAACTATGGGATGTCTTAGCATTTCTAGTGCTAAGCCCAGAGCTGTCAGCCACCCTACAGATAATAGCTTGGAGACAATGTTTCCATTGAGTCACTTCTGGGTTGGTGACTTTGTGCCATCTGCCTAATGGAGTGTTGGGGTGAACCTAACACTGTCTCGGTCCTTTCTGACGGTTGGCGCTGGGACCGTAGCACCCTGCTCTAAGATGCTGGTGGTCACCATCAGTCCAGACGGGGCGCTCTGTAAACAAAGCCACATTTTGTGCACGGCTAACCCGACTCAGAGAAGTCAGTATTTGTTCCTCTCCCCATACTTCAAGGTTCTTTGTGCTTTGATTCAAACCAGGAGAACTGAGAGCACCTGCAGCTTTTGTGATGCCCTTCTAGAAACTGCTCTGGGGAGACGTGCCTCTTGAAAAAGCCA